TTCGCAAAGTATTTTCTCGGCTGCCAGATACAAAGCGTTCGACTATGTGTTTGAAGTGAGTTTCATGTGTATTGTTTTCATCTCTAAGCTACATTACTGTGAAGCCAAAAACAAAAAAAACCGAATACTACTTTAATTAAATACTACCCGTTAAAGAGCGTCTCCGACCCGGCCAGTACATCTCCGGACTAGCCCGGTAGTTATTTCACACGTTCGTGAACCACGTGTGGACGAACGTGTGAAATAACTACCGTGTTATGCACCGTCACACTCTGTTAGGAGGTGTGAAAATATGTTAAATATGTTAACTTGGAGATGCACTTTAATCGAGGTTGACGTTATAATACAAACAGGTTGTCCTTTTTTTTCAAACCCCAACTGTTCCTAATTTATTAGTCATCTAATCAGTTCCAGTCTTAACTCATTAGTGTTAGTTAATTTTACTTCCATGTTCATTACAGAGAAGCACCAGTGTAAAAGTCATGCAGAACATGTTGTCACTACCAACTCCATACATAACCAGCGATGATGTGTATCCTCACTGTGGTAAAGTTCCTTGGACTGCCTACAGGACACCATGGATACAAGGTACAGGATTGTTATAAATGAGTAGTATCACATGGACATTATAGCAGCATTTTCACTTTTTACAGGTAGTGGGTGTAAGTGTAATTTAAGGTTTTCTATTCTGTACGTATCAATTAATTTTTAATCTAATTTCTCTTCTGACAGAACATGTGATCTCCACCTGTAAGCTCCTTGTCAGTGGATCACTGCTTGAGGATCTACAAGCAATAGGTCATCCAAATAATTTACTAGAAAGGTGCCACCACATAGTATATATTTGGGTCCATTTACCATGTTTTCTTCCATAAGCCATCGCGTTACTGTTTATGTTCAGTCCAATACGTATCGTATCGTGAAAAATATCCCTTTATTATATTATTCCTTTATTCATGTTCTAGTTACGGCATCCCAATCTCAACCTCCCACTCAATCAACAATGACCAAGATGAGGAGGTTTGCAGACCAGAAGAGCAGGTCAGAGATCCATGTCAAGATTTTGAATTATTTTTCATATGGACAATGGCACAGATGGAGCCTGGAAGTCAGGGACAAAATAGCTCAAAAGGTAATGTAGCCAGAACCTCATACTGCAGGGGGAGCTATGCTCCTCTAAAATACTTCTGGATTTTTTAATTTTTTTTTACATATAATTTGTTCCTTTCTTTTTTATCCATCTTCATTATCATAGTTAATAAAAAGATCAAGGTCATATATTATGTTTGACAGTCATGAACATGAAATAATTCTATTTATTAATTCTATGTACTATATCCAATCATTTTTCTTTGACTCTTAGACTTAGACATCCGTCTTTCAGAGGAGCTGCTGGCCTCAGACTACTTGCCGCAGTTTAGAAGCCAGTTACCCACACTGAAAGCCAAACTGTCCAGACTCAGTAACCTTCCTGTGTTGGATCCATTACTGAGATTATTAACAAACACTACATCTGAGGTCAAAGAGTTAAGGTGAAACTATGGCTGGATTTTATTTTTTGTTTTTCCCCTCATAATGACTGATCTTTATTGTGTCTCAACATTTACACCAGTGTGTTTATTTCCCAGTGGCTGTGCTGCCTATGAAATCACACCTGACAAGTTCAACGTTGACACAAGGTCACATGATGCTGTTGTAGCTCATGAAGAGTTTGTTAAAGAACCACTTCTTAAGGAAGAGGTAGATAAAAGATTAACCTCACTTTGATAAACTCAGACAATGATTTAATGAATGGTCTCTTTCCCCTCTGTAGTCCCTGCTGTTACCTGTTGTAGTGGACACTTTTAAAATGACCATAGAAAGTTTAACGTCCTATTCAAGCTTTTGCTGTCACTTTGATGTTGCTTCAGTACCGATGGAGGAACAACCTCCAGTTATGGATGTTCTTCGTAAAGGTAATGATCAAACCAGCAAAGTGTGTATAATACTATATAAAAAATATGATGCAACTCATTTCCATCTGGTTCTATTTCAGATACATCACCTGCAGTAGACATTTTCCCGTTTGATTTTACAGCGGACTGCAGTGACGAATGCACGATTGAGAATTCCCTAATGGAAACAGACATAATTGGTACATTTACTCTGAAGTTACAGCAAGTACATGTGTGTGCATGGTTCCCATAGTTTAGCTGTTTTGTCTTCTAGAACATCAGGGACTTCCATCAGAAATGGAATTAGATGAGACATTGGCTCTGACTCCTAAGATCAGTCGCTCTCAGCTCAGTCCGATAATCTCTGACCTCAGGAAGGAAGAGCTGTCACCACTGTGTTCAGGGTATGTCATGAGATCAGTAGTTGAATAAAACCGATCTCAGCGATAGGACTAGAAATACAGGAAATACAAAAAAAAAAAAAAAATTGGCCAAAACATTATGCTAAAAAATGCTGTGTAATTTGTATTAATTCATGACTCTTTTGTTTTGTAGCTATCTGCTGACAGCAAGTGCTCAAGAGGACATGGAGAGAACACTCTGGAACTCAGAGAAGCATCCAACATTTGTGGTTGGACTTCTGTTGGCAGGTAAACACCAAGTCTGGTTTTGGTGATGATATGGGTGTAATACAACAGTGTATTTTATTTGGGATTTGTGTTAAACTTGTGATTCTAATGGTCCCAAGTCAAATGGAATATTTGACGAGTTAATTTTTTAACATAACGACCACCAGATGTCACTGTGCTCCAGGTCGTCAGAATTACGGGTCACTTTCTTCTTATTCCACTACTATACAGCCTGTCTTTGTGTTTCACATTTCTTGTGAATTCACAGGGAGTTTTTCCAAAGTCTCACTTACATTTTGAACTTTGAACAAAAAAAACCCCACTTCAAAAATCATGTATGTAGAATTGTTTCATGTATTGGGCTAAACGAAACAGTGGAACACATAGTGGTATTAGACTGCAATATGAGATTTGTGTGACATGTTTTGGAAGAAAACAAATGCAGTTAGGAGTATCTGTTCTTTGTGTACACTGAGCCTTTTGACATTATTTTCTTAATTAAATGCTTTTAGTCAGTAATGTTCTAAAAAAGTTGTCAAGTCTGGTACACAATCCAGAGGTTCGCCATTTTAATTTTTGGCAATCCTGACACAACATAAAGTAGTATATAAATAAAGATTGATCTACATTAAGTCAATAAAATGTTCCTTCTTTTATAACAGAGCCTCATACACTGGACCAACCTGCCGAATACAAGCCTTGGTCTGAAGCCTTAAAAATAATAAACTCAGAAAGACAAATATTTGAAACTTCAAATCGAGGACTAATCAAGTCACAGACGACAGAAGACGCACAAGTTCCCCTGGACAACACACATGACTTCACAGAGACTCTAATGTCGGGGTTTCCCACCGTAGACGTGATGAAGGTCGAGGAATTTGAAAACCTGTCACATGATCATGACCAGTGTAAGTCTCACCGTTTAGTTTTCTATTCTTTCAGAGCAGAATGTTGTGGCAGAAGCAAGCTGATTTTTAATTTGATTCAGATTTAACACATGAATAATTGTTCTATTTCTTTCATTTATATTTAAAGTCGGATCCATCCTGATGAGTCCAGCAATTATTCCTCCATCACAGACAGAGGAAGTGTCTGTGCTTGAAGTCAAAACCTCAGTGGATACTGTGGTACAGAGAGAATTTTCTGTCGACACAACCATGACACAACACACCAACAGAGAAGAAGAAAAGGCGAAGACTGCTGACAACACGTCCACCAAGGATCATCATCTTAAATTGAAGTTCTCAGTCATCACAGCTTTGACTGATGGGAATGACACCAGGAAGGAGCAGAGTTCCCTCCCTATGAAACACACTGTGTCCTCCGTACAGAATGTGAGGGACAGTCACAGACACCAGATGACTAACAAAAGTCCTCAGGAGCAGGACCTCGACCCTCTGTCCTCCTTCATAGTGCTAAGATCCCAGCAGACAACTTCAGGTTCACCATCACCCAAGAGTTCTAGGAGCACTACAGGTACACACCTGTGCTGTGGCAGTGTGGTGTAAACAACTGTGCAGATAATGCACCCATAAGATGTGTCTTCCAAGACTTTTTCAATCTTCTGATCTAAAACTAATTATCTCTGTTGAACCACCGTTTTAGCCCCAAAGAAGGTCCAGGAAACCCCCACATCTGAACTGGAGCCCATCCCAGAAACAGAACCAAGATCAAAGAGAGGACCAGCCTACATTAGTGGTGCTGTGTCAGGAATTGCCACTAGAGTGCAGCAGGTGACGGGTCAGTGGAGAGTGGTCAGTCATACTGACAGTCAGTCAGACTGTCAGGAGAGGCCAGAGGGCAGAGTAATACAGGTCCAAGCTACAGGTGAATTTAAAACAGAATTAATCAGATTTCTGTCCATCTTTTTGTATAAATATCACTGAATTATTTTACTTATTATCATTTATTATTACTTCTACTTCTTCTTCTTCTTATTATTATTATTATTATTATTATTATTATTATTATTTTAACACTCTATCAGAGTTTAGAACTCTATGTGAATATGATGTGTTAAATATGTTGTACAATTACAGAGAATTGCACCAGGTTTTATCCAGAATTCTTTCGTAACATATTCTGCAGAAACTCAGCAGAGGGCGTACTCTGAATTGTTTGCTGTGGCTCAGCCTTGTCTGAACTGTGCCAGAGAGATTGGTCTCAAACTCCCTGTAGGTGGAGATTTCCACAAACTCGCCCCCGACCAAACACATTTCCTACTCAAACAGCAGGAAAAGGCTGTCTGTGGAGTGAAGGAACCAGAGCCAGCAGGTTATTTGTTTTTGATTTGTCCTGAGCGTCTGACTTTTATTTTATTTTATTTTTCATTTTAAAAGTAATTCCAAACCTTTTTAGAATTGTTAGGGCTGTGTCACAATGTTTATATTATTATTATATAAGAGTTTTGGTTAGTATCTATTTGTTGTTGTTTACACTGCACTGCTACAGTACAAAAATATTGGCTTAAAGCCTTAAATATATACGTATATTTTTTTTAAATAATAGATTATTTAATAAAACAAATGCCCATTTTTTAAAGTGGTAACTGTCTACATTTTCCAGGTCAGGAGCTTCTCAGACAGACAGCCTTGATTCATATACTGGTGACATCCAAGGAGCTGCTGCTGAAGTGCAGTATCAGTACTGCAGTAGGTCAGTTGAGTTGCCATTTTTGACATCATTTTTTTTATATAATCTTCAACATTTTTCTAAAACCTTTAGCTTTCAAAAAATAACAGTAATATTTAAATAAAAAGAACATACACTGTGTATTAAATGAAACGTTCTGCAGCCTACCTGATTAGGGCAGTGGAGACCAGTTCAGAACAGTGTCTTGGGTCACTGATGAAGAGGCTACAGATCCTCCTCTTCCTTAGTATCAAACACCAGGAGCCAGATCTGAAGCTGCAGAAGCTCCAGCAGCTGCTGACTTCATGGCTGTACAGTAGGAAGGAGAAGGACAGAGCAGACAAAGTCAGTGTTTATTACTCTAAGAAAATGCATTAATCATGAAGCAGGAGCTGATTTGGAATTTGAACTTAATGTAGATTTTAATCTACAAAAGGGCACATGTCATTACCCACACAGATGCTGTGCTTTTGCAAGATGAAAAATTAAAAACTGGATGAATTTTATTTACCCCTCTCAGATTCTTGTCTTACTGTCGGTGGACTCTGATGACGGCAGAACTAAAATCATCAACAGCATGAACCAAGTTGCTGGTGAGAAAATCTGGCTAGTTTCCTCTTCAGTGAAACAAGGAGCATAAGATGTAAAACCCAACAGATAAATTATTGTATTTTTTCACATTTTTGCACAGCTGTGACTTCATTGAGTCCCAAGGAAAACAAAAAAACAGTGAATGGTGCCAGTGTGGTCAGCAGGTAAAGGCTCTGATGACATTCTATAATCTTTTTGTTACATTTAAAAAATGTAATTTCAGCAGAAATCTAAAACAGTACCTAACAGTACCAGTGTCGTCAATCACTTGAATGAAGTCCTGCTTTCACACCCCTCTGCTGTTCAACAGTGTGTGTGACAGTGTGTGTGCTGTGGTGTATGAGCAGCACATCGGTCCAGATTTCCCCTGGAACAGTTTCTCTCTGGTGGTGGAGTACAATCATCCAGGCCAGTCTCCGTGGTCCACGGTCTGCAGAGACAAAATCATCGGTCACATTAGCTTTAACACCAGCATTACTGACACAGGTCTGCTGCCACTCTGTGCTCATGTGTACAAAAAGGCTCTTAATCTACACTTAATCTATACTCTTATTTGCCTCAAAGAGAACCTGACATGTCTGGAAGACAAAGTCCCATATGTGCTGGTTGTGACAGAGGAGCTTCTGAACTCCCCACTGCTGCTACAGACACTGGAGACAGAGTAAATGATCACTGACCTCAGCACGTACAGTCAACATATGGATCTTTACATTTCACAGAAACTGTATATTAACTATTGGCCTATATGAACAACAATGACGTTTAAAACAGTGTGAGCCTGACTGTTCACACCTGTCTCTGTTGTAATGAACAGGTTTAACATAACAGTGTTGGAGCGGAGCCACTCCCCATCTTTACAGATACTCGGTGGGACGCAGTACTACTGTGTGATCACAGTGGATGAAAGTACTGCTATAATTATTCAGGTAAAGACAAAATATGTCCACCCTCAGTAAAACACAGAGCTTCAACTGTACTGTATAAGCAGAACCATAAGGGTTATTACCCTCTGCTGGTTTTTCGTTCTTCTTTAGCCTCGATAAGAAGAAATGAACAATGAAAATTTCGGATTGATTATATATTTTATTGTATGTATATTTGAACTCACTGTTAACCTCCCATAATTATTTACCTGTTTATTTAAGCCTTGCCCCTAACCACTAAGTAAAAACCTTTTCACTTTCCTGTTTGTGTGAGATGGTGTTTTTGTTCTTGTTTTGATGTGTTTTTGTGGTGGTGTGTATACGAAGGACGAGATTGAACTCCATCAGGAAAGAGCCAGTGAGCGACTGGTGACCAGACTGATCGCCGTGTCTCTTCAGTACAGCTGCTGTTGGCTCATCCTGCTCTGTCCAGACCTTCAGGACGGAGGGTCAGAGTCCCAGTGCATACATGAGCAGTCAGTCACACACCTTCTGACAGACAGACAGACTGTGATGATGCCTCTCACCTGTGTGTTTGCAGACTTCAGGGTGGGGCATTCAACAACTTGGTTTTACTTTATTCATCTCTAGGGCTGTTTGAGAAGAAGTCCAGAGATCTGCAGGTCAAGGTGGGTTATATATTTAGTCTTTCAAACCTCCCAACGTCCCAAGCCTCTGATGGTATCCTTCTCTATTATTCAGGTCCTTATAGTGTCAGAGATTTTGGAAATTGCCAAGTGGATCAGTCACATCTGCTTCAGCAGCCTGATGTGCAGTGACAGAGACGTGGTCAGCTACCTGGACAGAGACTGGCTGAGTGTGATGATGTCACAGGTGCTGCAGCACACACCAATCTGCACAGAGGAAATGAGTAGAAAAAAAAACATTTGATGAACTATGATTATGTTGTCATGCAATCCAAACAAAGACTTTACACCATTTATTGTGGTCAAATTAAACCCTCACTTTATGTCGTAGCGTTTGGTTTACCTGGATAATTCTGTAAAACCAAAAAGGGATTTCTGTCTGCTGATTCACCTTTGCCTTACTATCAGTCTTTGTTGTGTGTCATCTTCAGGAGGAAATGTGTCTGTTAAAATTCCCATGTATTAACCCTCTGGTTGGTCAGCTCATGTTGAAGAGAGCCCCATCATTTCAGTGGCTGTTTGGAGCCTCCCTGCCTGAGCTGAAGGAGCTCCTCCCTGAGGTGTCACATAAAGTCATCAAGGTAAAGCGTCAGTACACAACACAAATGTCCTCCATTACTAGCTACTTGTGAGATTATGAAATAGGATATCTGTTCTTTTTATTTATTTTCTTGTTGTTTTGTTTGCTGCAATGCAAGTCTGTTGCTCACGTAAGCACAGGCAGCACGGAATCGTGGGATCACTTTCAAGTTGAACGTGAGAAAGCTTGATGTTTTCTGATGGTACAGAGTATAAAAAGCGAAATAGAGAATTTGGGTTTTAACTGTTTTACATTAAAGGAGTTTTTAACCATTTTCTCAAAGAAATACCGGCGAGTCTATTGTATAATCAAAATGCCCTGTATTTCTTAACAATATTTAATTTTAGGAAGTTTTCTTTGACTCAAAACCTGGAGATATTTTATGAAAAAGTTCTAGAAAGTACTAAACAAAGACCGTTCATAAGAAGTCCGCAGGCCATAAATTGCCAAGACATCTATGGAAAGTGTCCGACTGTGGTTCTGATTTAACTGTACTCTGCTCTTCATTTGGTTTCAGCTCTTCACTGACATCACCTGCCTGTACACACAGACCACGGATTTCAACAGGGCAGAGTCAGGGACTCAGGGAGTCGTACCAGAGAGCAGTCAACACACTCCATTCCCTGCGTCCCTCTCCTGCCCTCACCCTGACCCCATCTCTGACCCTTGCACCACCAGCTTCCTGTTTGGGACTGAAAGTACAGAGAGCGACTTCACTGAACGAGAACCAGAGCTGAGTGTACAGGCTGAAGACTTTAATGTCAAACTGGACTTGAATTCCTTTGGCAGCTCGGATGTTTTCCTGAGGTCTGGTACAGAGGCAGGGGAAGAAGAGGTGACATTTTCTGGTTGGAGGAGCAGGAGTGGAGCAGTGGGGAGAGTTGTCAGCAGAGCAGCTGAGAAGTGGACACCCAGGCCTCTACCAGAGCACGGGACCAGCAGCTGCTTTAACACCATGGACGACTGTCAATTCAAACTGGACACCACCTTTAGGCACAGCCCGGTCCTGCAGCAACACACAAAGGTCAACACTCAGATGTCCATGTTCTCTTTAACTGTAAGAAACTTCTACGACCATCCTGACCTGAGTCCTATGACAGACATCTCTCTGTGGGGCCGAAGGGAAAGTGGCAGCTTGAATGGAGTCTCATCCCAGTATGGATCCACTTGTTGGATAGGAGGAGAGAGGAAGAGGAGCGGAGAGGCAGCAGGGCATGTTGGAACAGGTGAGGAGAAATTACATATATAGACTTAATTAAAACGTTTTAATTTAATTATTCAGGAACTAGAATTGGCATTACAAACGTTGTATTTTATAATCTTTTACGTACCTAATTGTCACCATTAGGTGACAGTAATGAGGCTTACAGCATGCAGTGTTCTGTTATATAAGATCTCTTGTTGTTAGTGATACATAACTATATAAAACATTTTGTTTTAAAGAACACACATTTTGATTGATGACAAATATATGAGGTCACAAAGATCAGTGGGCTCTCAGCTCAAAAATACCTAGTAATGTAAATGACACCTTGTCCTGGTGCTGTGATTAACTGCAGCATCAGAGCTCACTAGATTCAGCGTTAAACTCATGAGGCTTAGATTTATATAAAACAATAAAACTCAACATTAAGCAGGACATTTAATTTTTGTTTATAGCACCTCCTGTGGCAGAGGTGAGGAACTGCCCTGTGGTTACAGATACTATGTAGAATATGCATATTTAAACTTTAATTATTGCTTTGAATACCTAATTTACATTTTTTTTAATGTGTGTGTGTTCAGCGTTGATGCCACTGAAGATGGGGAGACTGAGCTATGAGCGGGTTCCAGGCAGAAGTGATGGACAGACAAGGCTCAAATTATTATAAAAAAATAAAAGTTTGACTGTAAAAAAAAGGTTCTTTTTTGTACTAAACCACTGGAGCGTTCTCTGAGTAAACCTTTCCTTAATTTTAAAACAACGTTCCTCCTTTACTCCTGGTTGATGTGTTGAATGTAATGAATGCAGATGTGGATTTCAGTAATGGGCTGTGTTTAATTACCACTAAACTACCTCTGTTTTTGTTACACAATTTCTTTGTTCCCCTCTTGTTTCTGTTTCTTTGCACAAATTAATGTTGTAATTTAAAAAAAAAAGTTCTTTCTGCTAATCTGAGGTGTCATGTAGAATCCTGTTAATCCAAGGATGATAAATCACTTTGAGAAAATTGTAATCCCTGATTCAAAGTCAAACAATTAAAACACCTTGCAACATGCGTTATCCCTGATGTTTATAATCTGCTGTTTAGTCCAAAATAAAAAAGAGGAAGAATCCCAGTCTGCTGTTCTAAAGTCAGATTAAACATACAGATTACAGCTCTACACATTTTCCTTTTGTTTTCCACCAGACACAGCATGCTCACTAGTTAAGGACAAATTGTGATTTATGGCCACGGACTAGGATTGCTGCTCTTTCCTAGGAGAACTGATAAAGTCTCTGGTTTTAGCAGCTCCAATGATGGGGCTCACACCCCCACCCCCCCTCTTCCCCCTCCTTCATTTAGCAGAGCAATCCCCTTATCATCGACTCTCAGCATGTGGAGAGAGTGCTTATCTTCACGAGCCAGCAGAGTGAAGCCAGCTCCCTCAGGAGTCATCCCCAGACAAAGACGGCCCCCGGGGGACAGTGACTACAGGCCTCTCTGCCTCTGCTCAGTCTGAACCAGCACTGGCCAACCACCATCAATAACCTGCCAGCGGTCCTGTTGTTTTTCCCTTACCCATATTTTAAACATCTTTCTGCCTCCTCTGGGCCTCCGTACAAGGCCGCAGCCAGACAAAGGAGAATGTGTTGTTTTTTATGGCACAAGAACAAAAGCAAAAAGGAAAAAAAAGAAGAAGGAAGGTCGAGGTAAAAGGAGAAGCTCAGTAAACATCAGTGGTGATGCTGCAGTGATTGCCTCCTGAGCATTTCAGTGGCTCTGCTTTGAATAGAGCAGCGGTGATCGTGTGGGAATTAACAGGCTGTTTAAACACAAGCCATTCTTTAAACCTGGGTTCTCCTGCAGCTGCAGAGGTCACACACACACACAGTTATCTCCAATCACAGGCAGTTTGTCAAGTCACCTGTGTGTTTCCTCTGAGAACAGATACAGTCTTCCTGATGAGTGTGTAGTTGCTTCAACGCTGATTAAATATCAGGTTGACTGAGATTTAAAAGATGTTGTGTTCTGATTCAGATTTTACCACTTTGACCTTTCTGAATTACCAGTCGGCTCAGAGATAAAAGCACTACAGGCAGTGCAGCACCTAATGATTACCTGTTATAACCCTGATGGAACTGTTGACCTTGGTTATTTTGTCAATTAAAGGAGGAAAAATTGAGGGATTTTTAACATGTATTGTAGAGTTCTTGTTTTCTCGTTTTTCAGTTTGCACAAAATATAAAAATCACAAAATTTCAGTTTTTTAAGATTTATAAGCAGGAAATAATTTCCTTAATAAATTGTGTATTTGTTTACATTTTGCACCTGATGTTTTTGGTTTTAAACTCATGTTGAATGTTTTTTTTTTCTTTTTTTGTGTTTTGTTTTGCAATGACCTTTGAGACTCAAAATGTAGTTAATTTATTTTATTTCTTAATTTCTTCCAGGTGTTCTCATCGGGAAAACAGTCAAAAATGCACATAATAATGACTTTTTATCATAGATTAAAATGGTTGACCTTGGATGATTTAAATCCATCCATCCATCCATCCATCTATTTTCATCCACTTATCCATTACCGGGTCACCGGGGCAGCAGTCGCCACCCAAATCACACCACCGTACCAAACCTTCCTGCAGGTGGTGAGTCCACTGGAAGGTACCAACCTCCCTAACCGGGATTTGATCTTGTCCAGGAGGTGAACCCAGGGGTTCCACACCAATGACAGAGACATTGCCTGTGGGCCAAAGCACCACTGATGGTTTACTGTAAATATCAGTTTTTAACATACAGTACTGCTGTAGATAAATATCAAAACATTTTTCTCATTCTTATTTACTGCAAGTAATTTGTCTGTGTTCAAATATGCAACAGTCACAGGAAAACAAACCAATGAAATACTTGGCAGCATTGGGAAGTGTTGGTGTAAAAACATCATCAAGTCAAGAGAAACAGGTATTTTTACATGAACACTCAGAGCCCAACTGGTTCATGGTAGAAAACACCATTTGTTGAGCAGTAAATTACAGGGATTCATTTTCTTTCACTCTCAGCTGTAATTCTTTGCTTTTACACCTGAGCCTTTTTTCTTTCAACCTGTCGTCAAAGTGCTGCTGTAGCTAACATGATCAGTGCTGAAGTTGACCTTGTGCCTACATCATCAGGCTACAGTGAGAGCGTCTGCAGACCTGCAGGAGAGGCTGGAAGAAGGCCACAGAGCCTGGCCTGCAGGTGCAGCCTCTTGGACGTGCAGCGGGGCCCATGAATGGCCGATTCAGAAAGAGAGCCCCCATCAGGCCTGTTCTTCAGGCTAATCCTAATCGGATTATGTAAATTCCTGCTCTACAGACAGACTTTTTATGGAAGACTGTCTTTGAAACAACACTTGAAGGGTGTAAAAGCAACACTGACAATTGGATAAACTAGACCCGTTTTTTTTTTTTTTTCTCTCCTCCAAGGCTGAGGTTTAAACTGAGAGGCAACGGAGGAGAGAGGGGTGAGGACTGGCTGGTGAGAGAGAGAGGTGAGTAACAATGCTCTATACTCTCCCCCGTTTCCTCTGTAATTTATGTGTGGCCTTTTGGAATGGCTCAACACGATTACCATAGTCATAACAAAACCTACATTGTTCAACTGTCAGCCTGGATATGGTATTTTTACCTTCTGTGGCCCAATCAGCCTCAGCTGAATAGCAGAGCAACCAGTGAAATTAGGGGCTTTTCCACAGAGTGGGCGACGGTGGGTTGTTCGCGTCTAATGGGAGAGAAACAGAAAAGAACGAACGTCCGCGGCAGTAAGAGACGGATCAGACAGATAAACATCTCAGTTTCACCTCAGTGGAAACATATTTGTCACCTTCCGGGCAAAACCTTCAGGGATTAAACCAGCAATGACTCATAAAAGCAGCACAAATAGTCACTTAACAGAGGGAAATAAAGGATCTAGAATCTTCCTAAAAGTGACACATAAATATTATGAAAACCAATCAAATCGAGTGTTGAATAATGAGCACCGTGAGTCTCTGCAGCCACAGTTGTGGATCTTAATGACGAGGCAGAGGGTGTGTTTTTAACAACCGTGGCTGAGTTAACACCATCCTCCACCACAGCACACGTCACACAATAGGGTTCACCCTGCTATAAAATGTGGGGATGCGAGCATGCAGCATGAAGTCTTCCACCCTCTCTCACACCTCCCTCCCAAATTCACCGTCTCTGGACATGAGGATCTCTCAGAGAGGACGTGACTGAGTGGACGCTGACATCTCCTTGGTGACACACCGACTTCGAGGTTACGACATTTCCACGCTCTCTAAGCCAAAACAAACAGGTGAGACAAACAAACAGGTGCATTTTGCGTTGGAATTTTTTCTACAGTATAACACAAAAGGGCATAGATCATTTTTCATAACAAATTATTATTTAACGATGGCATTCAGAAAGGAATGGGCTGTAATTTTAAAGTAAATTTATATATATATATATATATATATATATATATATATATATATATATATATATATATATATATATATATATATATATATATATATATATATATATATATATATATATATATATATATATATATATATATATATATAATATTCTTTATTGACATATTGAGGTTAAAAATCTTTTTTTAA